GGTGAAAAAGTGCATCTTATGGTGCGAAAAATACGGTATACTAAAGATTCAGTTTGGCTATAGCTATGTACTAGGGCCTTATAAAATAAGCCCATTAACTGTCAAGATTTTCAGTACAGTATTTACATCTTGAAATACAAGGGAAAATCTACTATAGGAGTGTGCAAATGGACAATCTGTCTTTGATGTCCCATGGCCATGGTGGATCACAGCTGGGAAGAAAGAAATGTAAAGCACAAGAATAGGGGTGGGGGGATTAGTTTAAAGTCTTTTGTTGTAGTAGTGCCCAGCCAAATGGCTCTGAAAAACATAAAAACAGGGAATTCAGGTACGGAATCAGGTTATTCATAAGTACATTGTTTCTAAATGTGAAGGTTCACTTTAGGTCACATAGGTAATAGCTATCCTCCATGAACTTGTTTCATGGATTTCAAAATCATCTAGGCCCACAGCTAGCACTGTATTTTATAATGAGTGCCAAGAATAAATTATGCAGAAGAATTTTTACTTTTTCCTGTCCTGAATCTACAGCTATTCAGTTTTGTTGGTTGCACAGTCTGACTTCTCCTTAACAAGTGGCCTGTAGGTGCAGGCTGCTTGGTCTTTTCTGTCTGCAGAAGAAGATGCTCAATAAACTGGCGTTTTGTTCCACAGCTGATTTCTTACGTTGTTGGGCAGTACTGTAGGAAGTTTCTCTTATTCCTGATTTGTTCTCTACCAACAAACCCGAGAGAGAATCTAAGGATTGCTTTTGCCTCCACTTGTTTTTTTTTGGGGAAGGAGCAAACTAGAAATGGGGAACTGCTCATTGCCAAATGATGCAGTATATAAATCCTGGGGTAAAGATCTGTGGTTTCTTTAAATGCTTCTGTTAGAATTGGAAGTGATAAGACAGGATTCCTGTTTGGGGGGGGCTAGAATAGAGCATGCTCTTCACATGTGTAGGATCTTTAGTTCTGTCAGCATTACTAAGTGAGACTACCTGAAACTGCTGCCAATCAGAGGTGACAATACTGAGGCCAAAGGACCAATATTCTGACTCAATATAAAACAGTTTCCTATGTTTCTGTGGCACCTTGACTTGTATCATGTGGAGGAACCCACTGAGTAATGTTTCAAACCTAGTCTTGCTCTATTTGTTACTTTTTTAGCATGCCTTTGTAAGCTGCATGCATTAGTCTTTCTTTACAACTTTTACCCTCAGAAAGTGTCGATTCGTCCAACGATGTCTGGCTCAGGGTCATATGGTTTGCTTTGTGCGACATGAAAATCATATCCAGGAAGATCTCACAGTCCAAGTCTCTCAATATTTACTTAAAAATAGGCATTTTGAATAGGGATTGGAATTGATGTGAAATGGGAGTGAGGCAAGGGAGATGGGTGGTGAGAGATTACTAAGAACTGCTTCATAATAACGTGGCCTTATTATAGCTTATCCCACTTGCTGTGACTTAGAATTCTACAGCCTCAAAAAATGAGAAAGCAACATCAAATTCACTTTGCCACAAGCTCTTTCCAGTTTATGTTATGCATCTTTTAATACCAAGTGAGTTAAGTTACAGGCCAGGATGCAAGGATGCAGCACCTTATCCTCCCCCTTTAAACGATGTATACCACCTAGATCATTATGGGTTACAGCTGTGAAGCTTGGAGGAATAAAGGATACGCTGGCAAAATAGTCATTACCAGCTTTAGAGAGTAGGTTATGTTTTCAACTTTTCATTTCTTTTATTAGGAGAGGTAAAAGGAGAGCCTTGAGTCCACCTGTCTCCCTTTTATCTCCGCTGTTCATGCTGTTAGGCCTGTGTGTGGTCTAGCATTTCTGTGTTTCATGTTTATATTATTTACAGTTTCTGGGGATGGGTTTCTCTTGTCAGAAGATTTTTATAATCAAAGGGCCTATATCTGGGGGCTAGATCCCTAAAATAGACATTTTATGACAATATGGAGTAGAAGTGCATAGATTGAATGGTACTCTTGAAGATTCCAACTTTGTACACTAAACATTTGTCAGTGTTCAAAACTATACTGCTATTTTCTGGACTGGAAAATTACAGATCTTGCCTAACTACTATGTAAAGCAGACGTCTAGTTTAGTAGCATTTCTTATAAATTCTTTACTTCCAGAGTCCATCTAGTTAGTCAGTGACAATTTACTCTACTTTTCAATGGCTTTTATACAATAACTTGTGTCTTATAAACTTTGCTGTAGTTTTTCTAGATTGATGCAGAACGTGCACTTGTTGTCTTGTGATTAAATTTTGTTGATCTGAGTAAAACAATTTTTGAATACTTCAGTTGAAAAGTTCTTGGAGTGATTGAAGAGTTCTTTATAAATGCTAGACATCTGTGTTCTATTTTAGAAGACAGAAGCTTTTAAACATTTAGAGTCTGTGGTTCTGCCAATTCTTGGGTAGAACATTACATTGTTGGAAGTGTAAGTCTGCTACTGAAAACAGCAGTCCATGTTCATTCCCTTTCTCCCCTCCAGAATATGTAACAAAAGTTATCTTGCATCTTAATGTCACTAGCAGTAACGAAATGAAAAGATGCTGTTTCCAGAGGTAGTATTCCTGGGTCCATAGAGTTGTGTCTTCTTAGCACTAATAGATATCAAATGAAGTTCAGAGGTCGTACTTTGTGCATACAGTACAGTATTTCCTCTTTTGTTTCCTGGACAGTAATAATGGTCAGAGTCAAAATGGGTGGGTTCTACTTTCACGACAAGATTGATGTAATTATCAGTGCAGATTGCCTCTGATTAAATATTTTGTTTCTCAGTTTTAGGATGCACATGAGTTTGTCTCACTGTGCATCAGCTGCACACAGTGCGAAATCAAAGAACTAAATCTTTAGTCAGTAATAATATACCATTAATGGCGATATAATTGCCATTGTACAGGTGGCCATTTTATATATATATATGGGGAAGTCTTTAGTAGTATATTCTCTTATAGCAAAAGGTCTCTTCAGTTCATGGCTTTTAGCACCAGGAAGTGGAGTGTACTGTTTGAGCCACAAAGCAGGGCTTTCCCCTAAATTCTCTCCTCCTTACAGTAAAAGAATGACCTAATAGAGGTTATTTCCCGGCCAAATGCTCTTGGGCACAGCTTGACTTAAGAAGGCATCTGGCTGGTGTCCTGCAATGGAATTTCCTCAGAGACGTATAATTGACTATCAGACTTGCAAATTACATTTAACTTTCAGTGATAAATCACTGAACAAAACAGACTAAATGCAACACATGTAAGGGCAAAATCACATGGTGTGTGATAGACATCATTCATCACTCAAGGGAGCTTCTTTTATAAAAAATACCTTCAACTTTTTTATCATGCAGTTTGATTCTTTGTTTTCACTTCTACTGCTTTCTGTCTCCAAGGTAGGAGGATAGCAAGAGAAAGCAAAGCCAAGAATATTTTCATAAACTAAAAAATACACGTAGCTGGTATTTCTGAGTGTTAATCTCTCGAGTGGTGAAAAACATCTGTTTGTAATAGCAAGTCATTTCCCTCATGCCCTACCTTGTATTTAGTTGTGTTTTGTTTTTGAGCGGTCATGGAAAGGTAAACACAAGCTTATTTTCTGAGTCTTGATTACTGGAACAAGTGTACTGTATCTAAGGATTTCTTGTTGCTGGAGGAAAACTGTGTTAATCACGGGTGATTCACGTTCTAAGCCTTCAGTATGTTCTCGCACATCATTTGCACTTTCATGTGACTTTCATCTTCTTTGTTTAGTGTTATGTGCTGTCAAGTCAGTACTGACTTATTTATTTATTTGTTTGTTTATTTATTTATTTATTTATTCAAGTTTTACCCTGCCCCTCTAGACAACGTCTACTCGGGGCGGCTTACAAAAATTAAAACACATTAAAACAATGTAGAAAGTAACTAGCATAATGCAATTATTATAATTAATACTATCCAAGATGGCAACATTAAGAACCAGAAAAAAAAGGGGGGGGAGAACTTAGGTGGCTGGGGGGAAGGCCTGTCTGAATAACCATGTTTTTAGTTGGTTTTTGAACACACCCAGCGAGGGTGCCAGCCGAATTTCAGTGGGAAGTGTGTTCCACAGCCGAGGGGCAACTGCCGAGAAGGCCCGGTTTCTTGTTTTCTCCTTCCGGGCCTCCCTCGGCGTCAGTCCCCTCAGCCGTCCCTGCTGGCTATGTCGGGTGACTCGGGTAGATCTGGGTGGGAGGAGGCGATCTGCCAAATATTGAGGTCCCAAACC